TTGATTTAAGCAGGCCATAGCTGTAGTATTATCAATCAAGATTTTCACATGTTTGTGTTGCATATTGCTTGTGAAACATTGAATGCTAAGGGCAATAGCTTTAATTTCCAACCAATTTATGTGGTGTTGGCTCTCTTCTGCTGACCATTGACCACCTGTGGATGTCATTAAAAGAGAAACCCCAACCTGTCTTAGAAGCATCGGTGTTCAAGGTGACTGTAGGAGACTGGTGAGAAATAACATTAAATGACTGGTCAACATTATCAATCCACCAAGCCAACTCATTCTGTGCTTCAGGGCACAAAATCATTGATCTGTCAAAATTCCCTTGATTCTCGCTAAGAGCTTGGGTTTTGTTCATATCTAGCCATCTATAATGGAGTGGCCCCTGCATGACCCCAGGAAAACTAGATGTGAGTAGGCCAAGGACTTTTGCAACATTACGTATAGTCCGTTTGTTTAATTCTAAGAGTGATTGACTGGCCTTTTTTTATTTTATCAGCTTTGGCACATGTGAGTCTAACGCCTGTATTCAAAAAGCTCACTCATACTCATTGAGTGTGACATATAAATTTCGTTAATGCTGATCAATGAGAAAGTTTTTTCTGAATAGATGGAAAGATATAAGGTAAATCACTGAACATCAAGCCCCTGTTTGGTTGGAAATACCGCTATTGAAACGTTATGAGAAGATTAAGATCTCCCACTCAATGAGTTGAGTGTGAGTGAGCTTTTAGAATACAGGCGTAATAGTCATTTCTATAGAGTCTAGGATGAACCCAAAAACACAATCTTTTGTGTAGGTTTCAACACTGATTTTTCAGGGTGAATAACAAAGCCCACTCTGTCTAATAGAGTTATGGTATATCAAATATTGCATGTATTTTGGCTTATTATAAATACTAATTGTACATATTACTAATTTTACTAATATTAATTATTGGATGAAGAGCCATGTAATGTGGATATGCTTATTAAAACCTTTATTATTATTATTATTATTATTATTATTATTATTATTATTTTATATTATTATAATTATGGTATCAATCATGTTACAAACACATTGTTCATATGTTAAACCCAGCAAGAAAGAGTCGTCAATAAATATGACTGACATATGGCCCCTATTTCGTAAAGTATAAAAAACAGGTTTTAAAAGTTTCGTAAATTTCCTGGGGCAAGGTGCCAAACCATTAGGAAAGCAGATGTATTGGTACAGTTGGCCCCTCCAACAAAACTTTAAGTATTTTTGATGCGCTGGTTGAATTTTAACTGAATAGTAAACGTCTTTTAGATCGATCGAGGCCATGTAGCAGCCCGGACGCATCATACGGTGTCCATTTTAAAATGCTAATATTTTATATGCTGATTCAAGCTTTTTAAATTTAAGATCATGCGATATTGCCCATCCTTTTTGGGACAGAGAAAAATCGACGAGACAAATTGATCATTCTCGTGAAAGGATTTTTTTATCACCCCCTTTTTTAGTAGGGTTCCAATCTCAGAGTAAGAGAGAAGCTGAGATTCAGCCTCAGACCAACGTGGTTGTGGCGGAGCTGTTGTTTGAATTGGGCATTGCTCAAATTCAATCAATTGTCCATACACCGTTTCTAAAATTTCTGCATCCATGGTAAGTGTTTTCCATTCAGGCAAAAAAGAAGATATTTGGCCCGCATAAAACGTTTTTATGGTGCCTTCAAAATAATTTACAAGCGCCGGAACAAAGGTCATAAACTCGCTTACCTGTTCAAGATTATTTAATTTAGCAAGGACAGCTACTTCTTTATCGACGGCTGTCCTTACTTTTAAACGAAAGCGGTCGAGAGTGACCTTGTCGCCTCGGGTTCTCGTCCAGTCGCCGATACGACTGGGACGCTCGCCGTAAAAAAGAAATCTGTTGCCCTTGGTTTGGTCGTCTTTGGTTTTGACGTGGATAACTTGCCGAGGTGGACAGCTGGGTTGCATGCCCAACTTTATTAGTCGCCTTTATGCGTGTTAACTCTGATAGGAGATCATTCCCAAACAGGTATTCTGTGATCGGTACAGTGGGGGAACAAAGACCAAGGTAGTCTTTATTTAAGTGCGGTTTAATGTTATCACGGCAGCGTACTGATAATTCATAGCTCATTTGGCTCATCAGTGCCAAGGCATCTGTATTTAAACAAACAAGACTGTCGACAGGTATGGCGTCTGGTTTACTTTTGCCATGAAGAAGCATATCCGTCGTTTTTAGCGTGATGTTAGCTGCTTTACAAAGCGTAGTTTGAATGTGGGATAATTTTAGGTCAGCACCTTTTACAACAGTGGTCAATTTTGCCCATATTTTGGGATTTAACCGCGGGACCACAACCTGTTTACAGTTTGCTGGTCAAAGGTTTTTTTCTAGCTTGTCTACTCAGCAGTTGCTCATTGCTGAGTTTGTTGAGCCATCATTCATTTGCGATGGAGGCAAGCTTTGGACGTACAGCTTCACCCGTTGACTCCCCTTCGTTAAGAGATTTTGCAATCTTGTCGAGCAAAGTGTCGTCATCGTCCTTGTTCTGATCAAGGTCGGCGCCATCTTGTTTACTTGTCGAGTTTGATCATTACCTAACAGCATGTCGCTATTGGATTCGCCTGATTCACTTGTATTGTGTGAGTCATCGACATTGGCTATTTTAGCCTTTTTGGGAGAGTTTTCTGCAGTATGTGCCCTATCTCTGTGTGGGCTTGAATTTCCGTGCAACCTTTTGAGGGATTTACTCATTGCACTCATGTTGCATTCAAATCTGATAGTAGCTGAAGCACAGTGTTGTTGTTTTCTTCTGTGTCATCCGTTCCTTCTAAGAGGTGAAGTTCTCCATCTACAGCAATGGCTTGGTCCTTTTCTTGCTGTTCCATCCTGGTGTTTGTGCGTAAATGTACAATATTTTGGAGAAAACTCAAGAAGACTTTCGCTCAAATAAACCGAGAAAAACTGACGTCCATGGATTCCCGCGCTATCTCACACATGTAATGACATAGACCAATGACGAAGTAGAATTGAAGGTGAAGCCGTTTTGTGGTGTTTACTTTGCTTGTATTTCAACGCACATTTAACGTACATCACTATACTGTTAAAAATTTGTTGTCAAAGTAACAAAAAAAATTGGTTAAAAGTGGATGAGGTAAACAATTTTTTGGTTAAGAGTACCAATTGTATTTGGTTAAAATTTATTGGTGGAAACTAACAATTTTGCTAATTTTCATTCCAACCAATAATATATTGCAATTTTAACCTATTAATAATACGTTATTTTAACGAATTTAATATGTCATTTTAACCAAATGAAAATAGTTTGTGTTAATTGGTTGTTTCTACCAATAAATTACAATGGTAATTCAACCAATTAGAAATTGTACCTTGGATGGATCTGAGGTAACATATTTCTTTTTGTTAAAATGACCAATTTGTATTGGTCAAAATGACCAATATATACGGATAGCGATTTTTTGCCCAGAATTTGGTTAAAGCGATATTTACTTTGAATAAAAGGCATTCAAGATGCCCTTTAAAAGTACTTAGAGTAGCTGATGGCTTTGCATTTGTAGACAGTGCATTCCAGGATTGGACATTGTTTTTTCCAAGACAGACACCGAAGGATATCACAGAAGGAGTAAGGGAAAGATTCCTATAAGATATATGCAATATTTATTTAATTTGCATCAACTCTTTTCACAAAACAGACTTTTAAAAAGAATTTTAAACACATGCAGCAGTAGGTCATAACAAATGTCACAAAACGTTTTAATTTCTGACATAAAATTGTCAACCGCAATGGGCATTGAGCTATGTGTTGTATTTAGTTCTAGCACATGCTATAAAATAAACAGATTTGCTACAAACAAATTAGACACAGTAATAGAACAAGTATTGTAGCACTATAAATATATAGATATGACACTTAATAATAAATTAATGCCTAAAAGGGTTCAAAATTGAATTTTTTGTCTGTATCCAACCTATGTATGCATGGAATCATTTTTGAATTATAGTATTCTAGATTTGGATAATATAGATATTAATTGCACAAGTCCCATAATTCAATTTCTTAAAAAGCAAATGCAACATAATATACTCCACTTTTTCAATAATAAATAATTTTAGGCCCCCTTAAAAGTCGCAACCTATTTAATGTTTCAGTAAATCTTTTACAGTTACAAATAATTAGAATCTAACCATTGCAAGTTTAATTTTGCCCAAACGAAGGAATGTACAGTCATATCAATTTAATGCGCCTGTGTTTAATTCCAGACCACACCTTGCCAAGGTTTTGGAGATCAACCTTCTCAGCCAGATCTTTTTCGCATGCCAAAAGCATAAGAGAATCAAGCCATTGAATTTCTACAGCGGGACTTGACAAACTTAAGCTTACTAAAACTTCTCTCGTCTTTGCATACTGTGGGAGCTGCGGTGAGCAAAAGCCTGTATGCTTTTGCTAGCAAGGGAAATAGGCCAACACGACTTTGGCGAAGGGCTAGATCAGCAGCGTATCTGTAAGTAATATCTGACTCTGAGATGCTATTACTTTTCGCAGGTTCATGAAGGTATGGAAGGAACATTTCAGATTCGGCAAACAACAAGGCTGGGTGTGGGAGGTCATTTGGATAGATCTGGCAAAGTTTTTCAATTTGTTCATAAGTCTGCAGTTGTGTTGGGCACAGACCGTCCAACAGAGGTTTCAATGCAGACTTTATGTTCTCAGCTTTCTCTTGTATTTGTAAAAGAAGGGTATCCAGAACAAGAGCAAACTCTTTCCTATAAAATTTAGGCATTTCCATCTCGGCAGTGTTTTGTCTTTCGTCAAGGCGCCTAGGTAATCTTCTAGTTCGATGATATCTCTCGTACTCAGAAATTGCAACCACTTCGAAATTGGAAGCAAATGACACAGATGCATCTATAAGATCGTCTATTTCCGCATCTGATTCTCTGAATGTTTTCTCTCGTCATTGTTAAAGCTTCTATAGCTCCAGTTATGTCAAGGGTTTCTCTTTCTAGCACCTTCGTCATCATCTTGGTCTTGATGAAAACGTTTTTAGCGAACATTAGTGAAATAATGAAATCAAATCTTAGCATTCGACCCAGTAAACCAGATGCTTTGGTTTTGGTATCTGGATTAGCTTTTTCACTACAATTTAATGCTCTGTGTGCTTCAACAACAGTATCAAAGCTTCTCCATGCGGCTTCGACTGACTCAGGACGAACTGTCCATCGTGTTTTTGACAGATTCCTTAATTGTAGTGAATTTTCAACTTCTTTCAGTAGATCAGCTAATGCCTTTGAACGTTTTGTACTTGCGTTGAAAAACACGTATATTGCTTCCAGAACTTCATACATGTTTTTTATGAGGGCACTAGAGTTACTGCTGTGTTCGCTGACTAAGTTTGCCCCATGAGCAATACATGGTACATAGATTATCTCTCTTTCAACCTTTTCTGAAAGCTTCTTTTGTGCTCCATTGTATTTTCCCGACATATTGGAAGCGCTGTCATATGTCTGAAAACACAAGGTTGAATTGTCAATCTTACACTCCGCTAGTGACGATAGAGTTGCGTTTGCCATTCCTTCCCCAGTTTTATCTGTCACTTCTTTCACTTGAATAAGGCGTTCTACACGCTGGTCATTTGTATCCAAATAACGAACAGCAACTGCCAACTGATCCTTATTTGAGATATCTGGTGTTGTATCAGCCATCACACCAAACATGCCAGCAATGGACACTTCATGCACTATGTCCTCACGGACAGCATCAGCTAACAACTGAATAAATTCATTCTGAGACTTTCCAGACATATACGTCATCTGAAATTGCTTCATGTCTTTGCTTTCCAGCCAGTGCTTTAAAGGTGGGTTGTGCCTGCTTAGAAGAAGTGTAATTTGATGGAAATTTCCTTCCGTATCATCGCCATCACCTCGGAATGCCAAACCCTGCCGCGCCATTGTACGTGCAACATCAAGTAAAATAGTAATCACTTCAGTGTTTTGTAGTCGGAGTTTCTCTTCGGCTAATAGGCATGCACGCATTTCCTTGCTTACTTGTACATCAACATGTGAATTGGTCCTCGTAAAACTCAGGAAGTCCATCAATGCTGCCTTGTGTGATTCGCTAGTAAAATGGGCAAGAAGCTTGCCTTCCTTGTTTCGTCCCAAACTTCCTTTCATTTTGGACAAAGTACGAATTCCTGTAATCCAGGACTGATCAGCTTTGCTCTGACCTGGCCCATGAGGGAAAAGCGTGCATATGAAACAAAATGCTGCGTCTTCTGATACGCTATATTCCAAGTGGGGAAACTCACTGTACCAATGATCAGAAAACTTGCACTGCTTTGATTTAATTTCCAATTCTTTCGTTTTTGGAAAATAAGTTAGTCGTGGCTGACAAGGTCCAAGCATTATTAAGTGCTTCTTCTGATTATCCGACAACTTGAGTGGCCTTTTTCCGGGATCATGGTCAACTAGGTTGTTTTCTTCGTGCGAAACACACTTAAAGTGAGTTGCTTGTTGGTATTCTGTAAAGAGTTTTTGTGCTTCTGTGATAAATCTGATGCAAGATTTTGTGTGCGATCAGAAAGCTCCACAACTTGCACAAGAAATTCTGTTGGGTTAAAAGACTCATTCTGTACCGTTGTGGAAGCTAGCGTTTGTATTGCTATTGCAAGGCTTCCAAGCACTGATGCTTTAGCAGCACAGGATGCCCAACTTGATTTCTCACCTTCACAACCAACCAAAATGTCATTACTCTCAGCAGACGTTATCATATCACTTGCAGACAGCGTTTCATGGTTTTCCACACAAACACAAGCGTTTCATCACAAGGATTATTGTTAATAATTGCACTAGATTCAGCCGAGGTGTCAATATTCGTTACCTCGTCCATCAAGCAATCACATTCATTCAAAACACTATTACTATGCATTAATATATTTTTGTCTCTTTGTTCTATATTTGCTTCAAGTTCATCATGTGTTGTCATAGTTTCATTTGCTAATTTTGCTTGATGTTCTTCCTGTGCATTTAGCTGTGACAAGTTTATGGAATCATCAATAAAAACCATACTTTCTCGTTCTGGTATTTTCGTGTTAAATTGGACTTTATTCAGTTCATTGACATTATCAGCATGCGCTAGTTCGACTTCGACAGATGTGGTTGCACTATTTTGGCTTTCTGGATTGTTTACAACAATATATTTGTGCATTGAACCAGCTATTTTCGCTACTTGTTCACATTTGCGTTTTTTGGCTCTTCTTTTAGCTGCACCAGAAGTGTTCGAAAGCTGTTGTGCAGACATCTAAGATTTAAAAGCATCAAACTACTCAAATATGTATTACTATTAGCTCGTCTGAAAAATACAAATACAATTATACAGTAATACACTAATTTATGCCGTTATGCATCGTGCCTTCATGGAGTAAACTGTAGTGGATAAATATTACATAGCAACAATAATAGTTACGAATAAATGAATAAATACCCGGCTTAATTTGGCTTTAATCCTGCTTAGAATCTTTCAATATGATGAAAATGAGCCCACAGTTGATGTGATCAAAATAAGCGCGGAAAACTTCATGTAAGTCGTGCTTCAAAGGGGGAGAAAACGAGAAGAAAACGCTAGTTTGAGAAGGCATTAGGGGAGAAAACCAGTTGAAAATCGAAAAATAATTATTTTTAGCTTTTTTGTTAAATCAAATAACTGAAATAAGGCAAGTTCTTCCCCAAAATCAGGGCCCCTTAGCATTTATTTTGGGGGGGTGATACACCCCCCCAAGAGGCACGGCCCTGTAGATATGTGCAGTACATATTAACAGATGGGGCTGTAATGTGAACCAACTATACCTAGCTAATAGCAATTCATAGCAATAACATATAATAAAAAAGCAAGGTTGTTTACCATCATTGCACATTTACCACAAATTGATATACCAGTCATATTGACCGGGCAAAATTCATTCATATACATATTATCAAAACCATGTATTATGTTATACTTACATGACCAGTTCCAAAGGATCCATGAATAAGCATTATAGCAACTTGGTTCCTCTCAGCTGCAGTTAATTGACCTGAATGCTGTGCCATAATAGACATACACAATTATCGATTCAATTTAATTTCATTAGCCTTTAATTTCATTTAGCTTTTGTTGGATGATTAGCCTAATAACTAATAAAATATGGCTCACCTGTCTATATACATGCATGCACCTCATCTGTATAACACGTGTGTATACACATACAATACTGCATATAATGATTGCATTAATTAGCAGGCAACTATTATAGGCCTTGAAAATAACTAATTATATGATAACATATTACATGCCATGCACACATTTCAAATTTACTATGACATATATTGAGCAAGTATATATTTATATGCAAAATATCATCAGTCACTAAATGATCAATAATTAATTGGCCTAGCTAATAACAAATTTTAGTGCTCACAATTAATCTAACTGACTGATCAACATTTTAGTGTGCTTAATATGAAAAAAATATTATCCTGATGTCATATTAAAAATATATAATTTAGCCACATGCACAATTACCCTGAAAGGAATTTTGAAATTCTTGATCCATGAACAAGGAGAAAGCAAACTTCTTGAGGAATTTAAAGTGGCCTACAATCAGAGTTGAATTAATGCTTATCAGTATTGCATCATACATGCAATCAAAAATAAAACACAAATAACCTATTAATTACAATTAAGCATTTACACCAATTTCAGCCACTGAATTGATGATCATTGATCATTCAGAAGCATTTATCAACACAGATTATCTCTTAATTGTATATTAGAAACACAGAGTGGAAAATCACCTTATTGCATGGCCTAGTTTCATTGACCTCTTTATTTGCTTGTATTAGCATTGCAGGCTGGAAAACATCATAATACTTCAGAAACATTATCAGGTTCTCAGCAACAGACCCATAGTTTCTGTGATTGTGGTGCATGTATATTAATTACACTTTATAAGTTTATCAAATTACTAACCTCAACTGGCTTGTCACAATGAATTGAGTCGAAAGATAGGCCCAGTTTCTTTTGCAGGTGTAGCCTTATAATGTAAATGTTCAAAATTTATGCAGTTATGGCAATAAAATCGTGCAGCATATCACTGATCATTAGTTAAAAAATGCAGCATATTCATGTATGTGTAGCATGAAAATGAGTAAGTGTCTCAGTTAAAAAGCAGGCACAAAAATACTATCCAGAATCACATAGATAACATAGACACTTCTATAATTTTAAATGTTAAAACCAACTCATACCATTGTGGTAAAACGGTACCACACTTGTTGCTCAGCAACCTTAGCTCCAGAACTAAACATATAAAGTATAGTCCTCACTAGGTTTTAGAATTTAGCATTTTAGGTGATGTTGTGGCAATTTATTGTTTTAGCTAGGTGATGTTGTTTTGCCATTCATGTTTATTTTAACACAAATAAAATAATACGACATTAAAAGAATGTATCTATAGCGTACATACATTAGACTAACTCAAATTCCTATAATTAAAAAAGAATTATTTGTTAAAAGACAGATGTGTGATGTACATAATATATATTATTATTCACTGCATACGGCTTCAGGAGATAACGCCATAATAATTCTCATTACTATATACACAAGTGCCAGATATGTATGGCGCGAAGCTGGACAAAATTAGAGAAAGCAAATATATTAATCAATATCGCTATATATTGTATATCTTACCAAATATATACATGCAAATACAGAAATATATACCATATTCCCAAATATATTATACTTCTTATCTATATATGAATGCAAATTCATATATATATATATATATATATATATATATATATATATATATATATATATGCGCAGGAAGCTGGACAAAATTAGAGAAACAAATATATGAATCAATATTCCTATTTATTGTACATTGTGCCAAATATATACATGCGAATACAGAAATATATACCATATTTCCAAATATATTATACTTCTTATCTATGTATGAATGCAAATTCGCATATAGAACCAAAGCGCCATATATAATACGACAGCCCAAATATTTAATACATGTTGTCAAATATATAAACCAAGCTCGGTTACCAAGCTGTTGCCGTTTCGCGCCAGTTCTCGAAACGTGCGTGCTCCATCCAAAACAAAGATGGTGGCTGCTCGAGAAGTCGATTTGCTTTCGGGGTTGATAAGAGCGGTCAGCAATATTACAGAAGCCAACAACACGCAAAGTCAAAACAGGTCGAATGATGTCCAAGATGTTTTGACAAGATTATATCCATCAAGAGCGGGAGGCAGTGACGCGACATCTCGGCAAGACACAGTAACAACTGTAAGTATTAACTAAGGCTTTCACTATCATATTCAGTATCAATCAGTTCCTCTAGTTTCTCTTTTGTCCTACTTATACACCAATCTACGATAGCAGATAAAACGGTGAGGTAGCCATTCAAAGTTGTAGGCATGGAAAGACCCGTTCTATCACCAGTAATATACTATTACTATTAGTAATTTCTGCAACACCCCTCGCTTCATTAAATTTATTAATTACAGCTCCAGCAATTCTATTATTGAACTAACACCCTTTCCCTTAAAATAACTCTGTATAACCAATATCTTCTCCTTATCCTGTAGGCTCACTCTTAGCCCTTCCATGTTTCTCATAAATACCCATGCCCAAACAATTACAGACTCCAACAAATAGTCGCTTTCCCTGACTGATATCCTTTTTTCAAGGGAGATTCTTGCCCGGGGTGGCCACCTGGGGCGAATATTAGATACCTCAATTTATTTATTTTCATATCGGAACATCGATTTCAAGGAAACATTCCATATAATATAATTTAATATAATATAATATTTACATAGTATTTAATCAGCAATGATATTTATATTACAAAATCTACGCATTTCATTTACCAGGGAGATAATATTTTATTAAAAT